GGGAAAGAGGGAAAGGGGAGAGTCCTTCTGCCACTGGCCAACTCAGCCCCCCAAATCTAGGGTAGGAGAAGCTTAGGGAAGGTGGTTCGTGGGTGGGAGGGGTAGGACCTCAGAATCTCATACACCTTTATCATTAGACGTCCTCTCTGCTTTAGCACAGATATGCAAGCGCCTTTATTTTAAATTTATTGTCTATATCTATTTATCTTTCTTCGCCAGCTTGAAGAAGTGGAGGAGAGATCTACACAACTTAAATGGGTCGTCCCCATCCCATCTTCCTACTCACCCTCCTTTGCACTCAACTCCATCTCAGAGACACTCACTCTGCCCCCCCCCAATAAAAAGAAGTCACCCCCTCTTCAGTCTGCAGAGAGCCAGGGTGAGAGCAGGCAAGGCGAGAGAGCGACCTCGGTCGTGGGCAAGTAGCTTGTTTTTACGTCCTTCAATAAAATTTTTATGAGGATCATTTGATTGTTCATAAATGTGTCCTTCATTAAATAAAATTGTAGGCTGTTTTTGGAACGGGAAAAAAGCAACGGAGGGATGAGAGAAAGCAGTTTCTTTGGGGTCGGACACAGGAATTCTGGAGGGGCAGTGTGACTGTAAGCAAGATCAGACAACTTGGATTCCTCCCCCCAATAAGTTGGTTGCTACCCTTCTCCTTGAATTTAGGGTTCGGTGCCCAGCTCTCTGCTTTCCATCAGACTGTCCCATGGTGGTTTAGTAAGGGTGGGCTTTAGGCAAGCAGGAAATTCTCAGCGTGGATGCAAGAGAGGTGGTAGGGAGGTGGGCTGGAGGGGTGGGGGATAAGGGCAGGTGATGTCCCTAGAGGCAGATGCACCCTAGGCGTGGCAGAGCGAGTTTGAAGGTAGGGTGCAATTTCAGGGTCAGAAGGGAAGAGTCCCAGTTTGCGCTAAAAGAAACAAGCAGGAGCTGAGCCTGAGACGCAGGCTCTGAGGCAGCAGGGAAGGACAAGGCTTCCCAGACCCAAGATGCCTGCCCTTCTTTCCCACTCTTGTCCCTAGTAGGGGACCAAACGCTAGGGGTGGGGGCCTAGACAGGTTTTTCTCCTGCACTTATGTCAACCTGTCTCCTCTGGGGTGGAGAAGGGATAGAGAGAGGTGTCCCAGAGAGTGTAGTATGTATGTTTAGGGGGGTGGAGTGGAAAGTTGCGAGAAGAAGGGTAGATCTGAAGCCCACAGCACTGACCTCAGCTTTCCAGGCCCCCTCACCGGTCCCTGCTCCTCCCCCTCTCCAATTCTTTCCTTTTCGGACAAGCAGGGCTAGGATTTCGACGCATGGGGGGACGTGAGAAGTGCCTGGCTGGGGAGAGGAAACCCGGGGCCTCAGCCTCCTCACCCTCGGCTCTGATTATCTTCCCCTCCCCAGACTGGACTGGTCTATAAAATCCAAATTACAGCAAGAAACAGAATATCTCTTTGGCCTTGATGGAGTTGAGTTAGCTGTCAATCAAAAATTCTCCCTCACCAGTTCAAGGAAAAGACAGGAGGTTCCCGTTCCCCTGCCGAGGCTTTCTGCAAATACCCAGCACCATCAGCACCTCCCCAGCCCTTTGCATCTGGGGACCCTACCCAGCTCTTGGGCGGCTGCTGGCAGACACATGTAGCCTTTGGTGGGCCCAGGGCCAGACTGTGACCAAGAGGATGTCAGGGGACAGAGCCTGAGAGAGAATGAGCCTGAGATAGCCTGAGACAGAACAACTGAAACATGGCATCAGGCCCATAGGGAAGGAGAGAGGGAGGGAGGGAAGGAGGGAGAGAGGAAAGAAGGAAGGAAGGAAGGAAGGAAG